GTGTGTGTGTGTGTGTGTGTGTGTGTGTGTGTGTGTGTGTGTGTGTGTGATGGAGGAGGAGCTTGTCACCGTAGGGGCGAGGCCAGCGACCCGGTAAGCCCGGAAGGCCCGCCCGGCTGGGCGGGGCCGGCAATGACTGACAGGACAGGGTCGGGCGGGAGATGGCCGCGCGCTGGGCCGCCAGGTGGAGCCCAGCAGGAAGGGGGCACAAAGACTGTCCGAGGGCCTGGGTAGGGATGACCCGCAAGCTCGAGGTCGGGAAAAGAGGGAGGAGACGAGGGACGTAGGTGGCGTAGTATCAGTGACAAGGCAGGTGGCGAGACCTGGAAGAAGGACCGCTTGTGGGCGGGGCGGGAGGACTGACGCCTCTGGGGCGGGGCTAAGGGGCCTTGAGTGACAGGCAGAGGGGTCCGCCCCAAACATATCTCCGGCTGCTCGGCAAAAAATTCCCCTTCCGCTGAACGCGGCGATTTTCGCGCATTTCGTGTGCCAGGTGGGGGACCAGTCGCCGTTGCTGCCTGGCTGCCACCAGCCGGACCCCACCCTCAGCCCCGCCGCCTCCTTCAGGGGGCTTCGGCCCTGGGGCCGGAGCGGTGCAGAGAGGTCAGACCCGCCTGAAGGAGGTTTCCTCCGCCTGCCAGGCCAACGGTCCCTTCCCGTCCCAGCGAAATCCACCCAAGGCGTCGTTCCCAGGGCCGAGATACCCGCCATTAGAGGCCTTCTCCGTGGCAGCCCTGCTTCGGCGTTGGTTATGACCCGGCCCGCCTGCCCACAGTTGCGGAAGCGCTTTCTGGACTGGCCCCTGGAGCTGTGGGTCTTCGCGTGACGTTCTCCGAGCCCGCGCTGCAGCCTGGGCATCGTCATGCTGGCGCAGCCCGTCTCCCCGCAGGCCTCAAGGTTGGGGAATCTCAGGCCCTTGCACTTAGCCCGCCTTCCTGCGGGAGACCTGCATAGGCCTCGCCCTCCAATCCTGACCATGCCTTCTCTGTTCACCCACCCGTCCAACTAGCCCCAACCGCTTTGTGCCTCCGTTTCCCTGCCGTTCCCGGGCCCAGTTCTTACACTGCAGTCCCCGCCCCTAAGGATGTCGCTCACCCTCGCTTTCCCCCCGCCCCTCTGTCCTAGACTCGGCCTATCCTACCTCTCTGGCCCCGCCCCTCCTGTACCGACCTCCCCTTATTCAACAGGCTCCTAGGGCTCCTGAGAGGTGAGGGTAGGGGTCCCCGACGTTTTGTCCAACACCTTTTCTACTTTCGCCTTCGGGTCCTGCGTGAGGCCTAGGTCTTCCTCAGTATTCCCTCTGGTTTGGGGGCCCGGAGGTGGGTCCTGTCCGAAGCCTGAATAGGCTGGGGGGAAGTGGGGGTCGGGGGTCCTACCAGCAGGATGCTGAGGCCGTGGCTCAGGTCTTTGTCTTGGCAGAATCTCCGGGCCTCCCTGGATCTGATAAAATGAGTGAGAGCTGCCCCTTTCTATAGCCTCCCACTGAAGGGTCAGAGCAGCGGGGCCAGTGGGGAAGGGACAGATTCCTCTCACCTCCCATCCCTGCTGTTTATGCAGCCTCAACCTGCATTTCCATGTAGGGGCCATCGCAGTAGCTAGCCTGTAATGTACCATCGGGAGCCCCTCCCTTCTAGTGCCCTCCAAGGTTCCCAGGGGAGACTCCTGCTCCTCAGCCAGGGCCCCCTGAGTGACCTGCCTTATGAGGGAGCCTGACTATTCCCAGGTTCCGGACCATTGCCCTGCAGGCGGTTGTGCTGCCCCATATCCACCTTGAGCCGCCTGAGGCCTGCCTCCCATCTCCTCATCCTCAGCCCTGGGACTGGCTTCTCCTACAGATGTTCCTCATCATAGCATCACCCAGCATCTGGGGCCTAGAGTTCTGACAGAAGCGGGGGATGGGGGGAGCGGGCAGGGCAGAACAGAGGGTCACATTCCCCAAATGCCTTTTCGTGCAAAGCCCTGTGAGGGATGGGGAAACTGAGGCCCAGAAATGATGCAGCTTGGCCACCAGCACAGCAGCATCAGAGCCTACACATCAGCCACTCACTCCAGTGCAGCCAGTGCTAGCCTACACCCTGGAAAGGTCTGACAAGACTTACGGCGTGCTGTCCCCAGGTTGCCTGAAGGAGGGTCTTCCTTTGTCCTTGGTCCATAGGGCTACTCTTCAGGACACCCTGGTTAGCATCCAAGAGGTAAGGTGGTCCCCTTGGGGGGTCTCTTAACTCGAAATTCTCTTGGTCATGGGGAAGAGGGAGGAGCAGCTCCCAGGAGTAACCATGGCCAGTCCTGGGAGCTGAGGGTTTCATGTCGTGGAGAGCCAGGAGCCTCCCACACTGCCTTCCCATGGCTTTGTGCCTGTTGCTGCTGAAGTTCAGAATGGAGACGCACATCCTGCCTACCCTAGGGTCTCCCTAGCACCTTCCCTGAGTCCCTGCCCTTCTAGGCTCATCTACCCCCTGGGGATTAAGCCCCTCCATCCAGACACTGGCTAGAGTGGGTCCCTGTAGCCGGTGAGGCCACAGGGACCCTGATGGACAGGTGGGCACTGACCCATCTTGTAGGCCCAGAGCTGGCAGACATAGAAAGCTCCGGACCCAGGCCACAGAAGGGACCCACAGCCTTCACTCATCAGTCCACCATTAGTATTCTAACAATTGCACAACACATTTCCTGAACTCATGCTCTGTTCCATTTTACCATATCACTTCCAACTTACCTCTGGTGGCCTCCCATCTTTAAAATAAAATCTAAGGGGCATCTGGGTGGCTCAGTTGGTTAAGTGTCTGCCTTCAGCTCAGGTCATGATCCTGGGGTCCTGAGATTGAGTCCCACGGTGGGCTCCTTGTTCCGTGGGGAGCCTGCTGCTCCCTCTGCCTGCCTCTCCCCCTGCTCTGACGAATAAATAAATAAAATCCTTTAAAATAAAATAAAATAAAATAAAATAAAATAAAATAAAATAAAATAAAATCTAGGATCCATACCACGGCCTATGAGGTCTAGCCCCTCTCCAACCCTTTTCTTTGCCTATCACACTCAGGCCAAGATGGACTCTCTCTGTTCTTTGAAAACACCTGTGTTTTTCTGCCTCTGGGCCTTTGCACAGGACTTTCTCACTGCTTGGAACTGGATTGTGAGCCCTAAAAGTTCAGGGACTGTTTTTAGTTTTGTTTGGCTCTACATCCCCAAGCACTTAACTTGGTAAACAACAGACACTCAAAATGCCAGTAATAAGTCTTAATAAATAAATCTTGGGTTAATGTGCCTGATGCTGTTCTGTTGACTTATTTAATCTTTACAACAGCTATGTCAGGTAGGTACTATCATTAGCTTCCTTTTCTAGAAAATAAAACAGGAGCTCAGAAGTTAGGCCATTTGGGACACCTGGGTGGCTCAGTCGGTTAAGCCTCTGCCTTTGGCTCAGGTCATGATCCCAGGGTCCTGGGATCCAGTCCTGCATCGGGCTCCCTGCTCAGCGGGGAGCCTGCTTCTCCCTCTGCCTGAAGCTCTCCCTGCTTGTGCTCTCCCTCTCTCTCTGACAAATAAATAAAATCCTATAAAAAGAAGAAGAAGGAGAAGGAGAAAGAAGAAGAAGTTAGGCCATTTGTTGAGGGCCACACAGCTAAGATTTGAACACCAGAGGGAGGCTTTTTTCACCTCCTCTGGGTATATGGAGGCATGGGAGCAAGGTGATACGCTACAGACCAGCTCCCAGGTTCTGGATGCTTGTGGGCTTCCTGGAGCAGGAGGTGTTGAGCCTGGGCTGGAAAGTTGGCCACACTTGGGTCTGCAAAGTCCCTAAGAGAGCATTCCAAGCGCAAAGAACAGCAATGAACAAAGGTGTGGAGGCAGGATGATCCAGCTCCTCGGACTATCAGACTCAGGGCTGGGCCGGCCCAGGACACACCGCCAGCAAAGTCCCAGGCGCTGTTGGCGGGAGGTCTCTAGAGACAGGACGCCCGTGGGCGGAGAAATTGAGGCGGAGAGTCACTTCGCAGCGCCCCTCCCCAGGCTGGGGGCCGGGGCGCCGCTCCCAGGGCGGGCCGAGGCAGGACGTTCCCACGCAGGGGCTGGCCTTGGGGAAGGCTGTGGGCCGGGCCCGGGGGCGGGCGCCCCGCGCTCTGGTCCCTCTGCGGCCCATTCTCCGTTACTCGCTCTGCAGACCCAAGTCGCCCTCGGCGCTGAGCCGCGAGGTGAGTGAGTGGGTGGGCGGGAGAGCCTGGCTGCCCGAGCCCGGCCGGGTGAGGGATGCGGCTTGGACCCGAACTTTCGTCACCGGTCGGTCAGGGCCGGTGTGGTTCCTGCCATCGAGGAGGATCAGGGGGCTTCGGGAAGTTCAGAGTCGAGGACTCCTCCGGGAATTATCCTTTGTCCGTACGTGGGGCGCCATCTCTTTCCCCAAATGTAGCTTACTCTTTCCCTCTCTCCATATGTGGGGCTACTTATCACTGACAGGGAGCCCTTCCTTCCTAGATGTGCCCCCCACATATGCTACAGCCCCTCCTCTCTAGTTATTGGGTGCCTCTCTCTTTCCCCAGATGTGGGGAGCCCCTTTTCTTTCCAGAAGTGGGATACTCCCTTTCTCTCCCCAGATGTGTACTCCTCTTCCTCCTTCTGACCCAGTTGGGTCCTTACCCTCTAAATCCTCTCCCCACCCCCACCCCCAAGCCCCCTGGGATGCCAAACCCTGAGACTTCCCTGGGGCCGGAGGGGGTTGGGCTCAGCCTGTCCCCTCGCCCCACCAGATTCAGCAGAGCAGGCTCTGTGAGCACGTAGGCAGCCAATTAGGGGGGAAGGGGTGGGGGCCAGACCGGCTGTGCGGAGACCTTGGCAGATGGCCCTGTGAGGAAGAGAGGTAGCACTGGGACCTGCTCCCTCCCTACCTGGACTCCCACCCAGTTTCCTCTGGGAGGGGGAGCCAACAGCTGAGGGAGGGTTCCCAGCTTGGCCTGGATGAGCTGGGGCTGGAACCAGAACCCAGGCTCCCAGCCCCAAACTGTTGAGACCCTGCCTCAGGAGTTAGGCCTCCTCCCACTTCTCAGAAGGTTAATTGAGGTTCCAGGAGGGGGGCTCCAAATGTCTAGGACCCCCATCCACCTCTATCAGGATAGCAGACAAAAGTAGAAGGGTCAGGGGCATGAGGGTGACTTTGAAATTCTGGGACGCCCCCCACCACAGCACCTGTGGAAAAGTTTCTCTGTCTGGGCTCCGTGGGTAGGGGCAGAGGGCAACGTGGGGCAGAAGTCACACACACACACACACACACACACACACACACACGCACAGATGTTCTTCAGAGCTGCCTGGAGCTTGGTACTGAAGAAAGCAGCACCCGGGATGCGGTGGATGCACAGCCCAGGAAGTGCTGGTAAGACCTGCGCGCCTCATCCCTGTCCAACTCGGAGGCAGGGTGGGCTCCTGCCTGCTGGCTGCCCTGGGCCTGCCCCAGACCATTTCCCACAGTCCCACTCCTTGGTCCTGGGCCACATGCCTCCAGGACATGGAGCTCTCATTTGACAGCACCCCCTTCCATTCGAAGCTTCCTCAGGGCCTGACCCCCAAACCTCAGGCCCCTAAGGACTTTGTGTCCTGAGGCGGAGGGTGCTGACAGAAGCTTGCACCTTCTTTCCAGACCCTAGTCAGAAGAAAGGGGCCTAAAACAGGAGAGACTTCAGCCGGATATTCTTCCAGACCCCCGGAAGAATAACATTTATTGAGCCCTTACTATGTACCCCAAGCTGTGATCAACATTTCACACAGATTACACACTCAGACTTCATGACAGCCATGTGAGGTGGATGCTGTGCTATTATCTCCATTTCTCAGATGAACAAACTGAGGCCCGGGGACCTAGATATTAAAAGGGTCAAAGTAGTCCCATGCCGTCCTGGCAAGGTAGTACCAAGGCCTTCCATGTGGGCGTCTCTGGTATCAATAAACAGAAGCTTTATCGAGACCCTCCAGCCATGCTCTGGACCCCCTGGACACCCACGCGGAGCCCTTGAGGGCTTAGCCATCAGCGAAAGCTTGCAGGAAAGGAAGCCAGTAGTAAAACCAACCTCTAGCAGTATAACTTACGGAGCATCTACTGCAAGGCACTGTGCTAACCCTTTCAAGTATAGTGTCTTGAAACTTCCCACAACAGGGTGAGGTAGGCTCTCTTACTATCCCCACTTTCCAGAGGAGGACATCGAAGCACAGGGAGGTCGAGGGGCTTGCTGGAGCTGGGGTGGGTGGAACCGGGGCTCAAAGCCAGCTGACTCCAAAGGCGTGCCCTCCACCAGTGGTCAAAGGCATGTGGATAGCACCCTACAGTTTGCAGAGCAGTTACACATCTGCCGTCTCAGGTTCATCTCACTCAGCCTTTGTCCACCCATTGCCTTTACCTCACCTCAAATCTTCCCAGAGAGCATGAGATTTGAAGCCAGAGGGGCTGAATTACAGCCCTGGCCATGCTCCTTATTGCTCTGTGAGTTTCAGCAAGTCACTTAGCTGTTCAGTTTCTCCATCTGTAAAATGGAGAGATAACCGTCTCAACCTGGCTCAGAGTGATGCGGAGTAAATGAGTCAATTCACCCGAAGGCCTTAGAATGGCTCCTGGCACAAAGTAAATGCTCAATAAATGCAGCCCTCTTTTGAAATATTATGGGTAGAACTGGGATGTCCCAGGGGCAGCCTGAACTCAGCTGTTCCGTTGTGCCTGCAGCCCACAGTGAGCAGAAGATGCCCCCTTACAGCAACTACCATGCCCAGCGCTCCTACCCCATGCCTGATGAGCCCTTCCGCACAGAGCTCAATGCTGAGCAGCAGGCCCTGAAGGAGAAGGAGAAGGGCAACTGGACCCAGCTGAGCCATGCCGAGAAGGTGGCCTGTAGGTGTCAGGGTGGGGCTGGCTGGGGAGGGTGGGCTGGGGGGTGACTTTGAAAAGAAGGGCCTCCACCCAGGGCACCTGTGTGGCTCAGTCAGTTAAGTGTCAGACTCTTTGGTTTTGGCTCAGGTCATGACCTCTCATGCTGCATCTGCTTGAGATTCTCTCTCCCTCTCTCTCCCCCTCTGTCCCTCCTCCCCCTCTCTCTAAAATAAAAATCAAAATAAATAAAATCTTAAAAAAAAGGAAGGGCCCCCACCCAAGACACCAGAAATCCCCAAACACCTGAATGCCTACCTGAGGGGTGAAGTTCATCATTTGTTCATTTATTCTTTTATTCAGTCAGCTGTTTGTGCACAGCCAGATGCTAGGTGATGCTGGGGACATAGCTCCCCTGGTGCTCCCAGGTCGATGGGAGAGCTGACACAAACCCGGATAACCGTAATACAGGCTGTGTGGCTAGGGTGAGGTGTGTCCAAGGGGTTGTGAGGACCCAAAGGAGAGAGAGAGAGAGAATCCTGGTGGGCCTCCCAGAGGGGGGCATGTCCTGGCTGGCCTTGAATGGTGAGGCGGAGGGTGTTGCCTGGCAGTGGGAACAGCGTGGGGAGGGATATGGAAGCAGGAGAGCATGGAGCATCTGGGTATCACTGAGTCGTGTGGGGAGATGGAGCAGAGAGGCAGGTAAGGTGGGTGGGGGGGGAAGGACCTGACCCTGGGAAACAGGAGGGATGTGTCCTGCCCACCAGACGTGCCCCTAAACGACTCTGATATTTGCAGCCTGCTCCTGGCCATGCTTTGCATACAGTAGATGCTCAATAAGAATTTGCTGAATGGACAGCATCTGCTGCAAGAGTGGGGAGGCTGGGGATTCCTGAGGCCAAGACTCGGCCCAGGGTTCTCAGAAGGGATACATGCAAGGCCCCTCCTTCCCCACCCCTCCTCTGCCTCCAGTGTACCGCCTCCAGTTCCATGAGACCTTTGCAGAGATGAACCGTCGCTCCAATGAGTGGAAGACAGTGATGGGCTGTGTCTTCTTCTTTTTTGGATTCACAGCTCTGCTGATTTGGTGGCAGCGGGTCTATGGTGAGTGGCAACCCCTCACCTTGCTGCAGGCCTGGGCCGTGCCCTTGGGGTCAGAGCCACCAGCCCAGCTCTTATAGGGCAACTATGCTGGCACTCCTCTGCAGAGTTTTGAGAAGTCCCCCAAGGAGGTGTAGGGTGAAGGGCAGATCATGGCTGCCTGGGTTGGGATGTAGAAGCTCTACCCCTCTGGGCCTCAATTCCTCCATCTGTAAAATGAAAATAATAGTGCCCACATCACAGGGTTCTTGTGAGGATTTAATGGCTGTAAGCCAGTGCCTGGCACATAATCATGAATGGTGCTGTTACTGATTGCTGTTATTAACCATTAATTTTTCTGTAACAGAGAGTCTCCAACATACAAGAGCTTAAACAAGATACAGGTTTTGTTCCTCTCACAAAAAAGGCCAGGGAGAGTATGGAGACTCTGCAACGTCAGGCTCCTTCTGTGGTGTTGACTGCCGTCCTCCACATGTGCTTCCTTCTTGCCATCCAAGATGGCCGCTCCAGCTCCAGCCAAGAACAGGGAAAGGGATGCACTCCTCTTTAAGGTCCAGAAGTTGCACACGTGCCTTCTTCTCACCTCCTGTTGGCTAGAAACGATCACATGACCATGTCTAGCCACAAGGGAAGTTGGGAAATGTAGTTTTTAGCTAGCTGGTCACATGCCCAGCTAACAGCTTATGACTACAGAAGAGGGATTCTCAAAGTGTGGTCCCTGGACCAACATCATCATTTGGGAACTTTTAGAAATGCAGATTCTCAGCCCCAGTCTGGATCTACCAAGTCAGACACTCTGAGGGTGAAGCCCAGCCATCTGTGTTTTAACAAGCTCTCCAAGTCATTCTGATGCCCACTTAGCTCTAAGAAGCACTGCTCCGGAAGCAGGGGAGGGGCTGTTGGGGAAGGGCTGACAGTTTGTGCCCCAGCTCTTCACCTCCAACGGCCTCACCTTTCTTCTCCTGTAAGATTGTGATGGGAATTCCTACCTCCATGAGGATGAAATGAGGATGAATTCTAGTCTAGCCCAGTGTTTGGTGCTGATGGGTGCCGTAAAGATCTTTTACTTCTTTCCCACCCACTGGGCTAGAAAGTTCCAGTGAGGAGGTCAGACAGGCTGAGTCAGCCTCAGGGGCAGATGGACCAGGAGGTAAGGTCTGAGCAGTGTAGGGAGCTCCACCTCCCCTGATGCACACATCAAGGCACCTAGAATGCCTCTTGAGTGCCTCAGCCTTTTAGTTAAGTACTGCCCTCCTCAGATTTCTCAAGTGAACACCCCTTCCTCGCCTCCTACCTCCAACCCCCTTAGGAAGCAAAAGAAACCATCTCATCCTGGGCTCTTCCCAGTCAGTGGGAGCAAACTTAGTAATTATAATCACTACCATATATTATGTACTTAATATCTGTCCCACATTGTACCAGTTGCTTTATACATACTAACTCATCCAATCCCCACAGCTGTAGGAGATAGGACCTGTTTTTGACAGGGAAGGAAACTGAGGCTCAGAGAGATGAAGTGACTTGTTCAAGGTCACACAGCAAGGGAGGGTGGAGCTGGGATTTGGATCCATTCCACTGGGCCATAAAGTAAGGAAGCAGGCTGAGAAAGGGGAAGGACCTTGGCCCAATTCCCACAGTGAGTCTAAGGCAGAGCTGGGACCAGAACCCAGAGGTCCCTGGAATGAAGCTTTAGCAGGGAGTCTGGTGGGGGGACAGACAGGGGGGAAGTCTGGTGGGGGGCCTGACCCTGTGACTGGAGACCCTGGCTCAGGGGGACAGGGTGGAAGACTTGCAGGGTCCTGAGCCACCCCTGTCCCCACCCCATGCCTTACCTGCAGTGTTCCCAAAGAAGCCCATCACCCTGACGGATGAGTGGAAGGCCCAGCAGCTCCAGCGCATCCTGGATATGAAGGGCAACCCTGTGCAAGGCCTGGCCTCCCGGTGGGACTATGAGAAGAAGGAATGGAAGAAGTGACGTGGCATCCGGGCTGCCCTCCCTGCAGTTCCACCCCGGCCTAGAGCCTGTGGAGGGCCCTTTCCTCTTCTTAACGCCAATAAAGCTGGCCTGTTCTCTTCTGTCTTCAACCTCCACCTCGGTCTTTACCTGCCACAAACCCTACAGTATACCTAAGATTGAGCACTGTGGTGAAGGAAGGGCAGGAATAAGCCACTTTCCAGGGGCCCAGAGCCCAGCCAATCAGGGAGGGCTTCCTGGAGGAATAGGGGCTAGGTTTTAGTCTTAAGGGATATGTGGCATTAGGAAAGGGAGGAAGGAGAAGGGAAGGTATTCCAGGTGGAGGGAGTGGCTTGAGCAAAGGCAAAGACACTCCTTTATTCAGTCAATTATTAACAAACATTTGTTGAGCACCTACTGTATGCCAGGTACTAATCCAGGCCATGGGGATGCGGCAGTGAATAAGATAAAGTCTCTGGCCCCATAGAGGAGGCACTCTTTTATGGAGGGAGACAGAAAAATGAATATGTGATGAGTGCTGTAAAGGAACAAAACAAAGCAGGATAAAGGGACGGAGTTAAGGGGCGTCTGGGTGGCTCAGGTCATGACCTCAGGGTCGTGGGATCGAAACCTGTGTTGGGCTCCATGTTCAGCCATGATTGATTAAATCATTGGCCACTGGGGAATGATTCAACCTCCAGCCCCTCTCTCTCCCCGGAGGTGGGGTGGGTGTGGGGGTGTGGGATTGAAAGTTCAACCCTCTAATCACATGGTTTGTTCTCTGGGCAATCCTTAGGTGGGGTTCAAAAGTCACCTCGTTAACATAAGAAGAGACACCTTCCTTGCTCTCATTACTTAGCAAATTCCAAGGGTTTTAGGAACTTCGTGCCAGAAACTGGACTAAGATCAAATATATATATTTCTTATTATAAATCACACTATCACAGGCTGCCATAACAAAATACCACAGGCTGAGTGGCTTAAACAACAGAAATGTATTTTCTCACAGTTCTGGAGGCTAGAAGTCCAAGATCAAGGTGTTGGCAGGATTGGTTGCTTCTGATGTCTCTGTCTTTGGCTTGCAAATAGCCACCTTCTTGCTATGTCCTCACATGTACTTTCCTCTGTGCATGCGCATCCCTGGTGTCTCTCGGTATGTCCAGATTGCCTCTGCTTATAAACACGCCAGTCCGATTGGGTTAGGGCCTTTCCTTTCATTTTAACTTCATTGGCTCTTTATTTTTATTTTTTTAAAGACTTTATTTATTTGTCAGAGAGAGAGAGCACGGGCGAGAGTGAGCGAGAGTACAAGCAGGGGGAGAAGCAGGCTCCCTGCTGAGCAAGGAGCCCGATGAGGGACTCGATCCCAGAGCCCTGGGATCATGACCCGAGCTGAAGGCAGCCGCCCAACCGACTGAGCCACCCAGGCATCCCTTCATCGCCTCTTTAAAGACCCTACCCTAAGACCCACAACATGCTGAAGTATTGGAGGTTAGGACTTCAATGTATGAATTTGCAGGAGACATGACTCAGCCCGTAACAGTTGGGTTCAAAATTATTCCATGTGTCTCCTTGTTCTGGGAGCAGTGGGCACCCAGGGCATTTTCTTCTCTTGGCAGAAGTCAGAGACTGCCGAGGGGGCATGGGGATGATTAGGGACCCAGGATCCTCTTAAAGCCCAGGCTCAGAATGAGCACACACAGAATTGGCACCACATTCCACTGGTCAAAGCAGGTCCTATGGTGTTCCAGTTACTATTGCTACATTACAAACTACCCCAAAACTTAGTGGCATAAAACAGCCATTTTATTATGCTCGCCAATTCCGTAGGTCAGGAATTCAGTCATTACTCTTTGCCTCTGTTCTAGAATGTTTGAGGTCTCAGCTGGAAACACTCAAAAGGCAGTGGCCAGAATCTTCTGGAGGTGTTTTCACTCTGGTGGTTGATGCTGGCTGTCAGCTGGCTGAGCCTGACAGCTCAGTCAGAGCTGTCAACCGGACATCCTTCTTTTGTGGCATCCCCAGGTGGTCTCTCTGTGTGGGCTAGTTTGCACTCCCTCAAAGCATGTTGGGTGGGTTCCAAGAGTGAGAATTCCGAGAGAACAAGAAAAAAGCGTGTTGCATTTTTATGATCTAGCCTCAGAAGACACATAGCATCCCTTCTGCTGAACCCTGTTGGTTAAGGCACTCACCAAGTTCCACCTACGTTCACGAGGGAGAGGACATAGACTTTCCTGCTTGATGTCACAATGCGAGGTGTAAGATGCATATGAGATGGGAGATACTGTTGTGGCCATCTTTGGAAAATACAGTCTTCCCACCCACAGCCAAGCCCAACATCAACAGGCAGAGAAGTATCCTCCGTCAGATTACTCATGGTGAGTGTGGAGTAGGGAGAAAGGCAGAATTGTGAGCAAATACTACATCCTATCACTGATGGTGTAGAAACAACCAACACAAAATTATGTTGATAGAAGCTAAAACTGACCACATCTAATCAGTTGATATACTAAAATTCAAACAGATAATAACATTTTGACATTTAGATAATCAAATTTGACCTGAAAAATCAAACCAAATGGAAATAAAGGACAAGAGCAGATAATGCACAATGGCAGAAAACCAGTGAAATCAGATGTGGATAAACAAGAGTGAGAGAAGAATCACATCCTCGTGGTGGCATTCCCTCCATGAAGTCAGGTTGGTTGCAATGAAAAAATAATTTTGTAAAATTAAATTTATAATAGCAAACATTAGAAAGAATTTAACTTTGGTCATAAAATAACTGATTGAGGAATAAAATTGACTTCATGCAGCTTGCTCAAGAAAGGGCTTTCTTAAAAAAAAAAAAAGCACTTTATTGCTCTATTAGAATTAGTGTAATTCTGGGGCACCTGGCCCGGTCAGTGGACCATGTGACTCTTGATCTTGGAGTTTAAGTTCGAGCCCCACGTTGGGTGTAGATATTACTTAAAAATAAAATATATATATTTTTAGATTTATTTACTTATTTTATTATTTATTATTTTTTTAAAGATTTTATTTATTTGACAGAGAGAGACACAGCGAGAGAGGGAACACAAGCAGGGGGAGTGGGAGAGGGAGAAGTAGGCCTCCCGCCGAGCAGGGAGCCCGATGCGGGGCTCGATCCCAGGACCTGGGATCATGACTTGAGCCGAAGGCAGACGCTTAACGACTGAGCCACCCAGGCGCCCCTATTTATTTATTTTAGAGAGAGAGTGCCTGAGTGTGGGGAGGAGCAGAGGGAGAGAGAGAATCCCAAGCAGACTCCCCACTGAGCGTGGAGCCCAACTCGGGGGCTCAATCTCACAACCCTGAGATCCTGACCGGAGCCGAAATCAAGAGTCAGATGCTCAACGAAGTGAGCCACCCAGGCACCCCCTAAAAATAAAATCTTTAAGAAAAAAAAAAAAAAGAACTAGTGTAATTCCGATAAAAATATTTAGATTCAAAACTCACAGTCAAGGGGCGCCTGGGTGGCTCAGTCGTTGAGCATCTGCCTTCGGCTCAGGTCATGATCTCAGGGTCCTGGGATCGAGCCCCGCATCGGGCTCCCTGCTTGGCGGGAGGCCTGCTTCTCCCTCTCCCACTCCCCCTGCTTGTGTTCCCTCTCTCGCTGTGTCTCTCTCTGTCAAATAAATAAACAAAATCTTAAAAACAAAACAAAACAAAACCTCACAGTCAAAATAGTCTTGGGATAAACACATCCATGAGGTCAAAACATTTGGGTCAAAACGTCCTGTAATAGTAAAGTTCTCTGTAAAAAAAAAAAAAAAAAAGAGAAAGAAACTGAAAAGGAACTAAAAAGGTGAAAAAGGACTGGTTTCCTTAATACACTAAGCAAAACAAAACAAAACCAACAACCTAACAAATCAGTAAGAAAAAGATAAATGCACTAGAAAGTGTTGCAAAAGTCATGACCAGGAAGATTACAGACAAAGAAAAAGGTGTCCTGGGGCACCTGGGTGGCTCAGCTGGATTAAGTGTCTTCCTTCAGCTCAGGTCATGATCCCAGGGTTCTGGGATTGAGCTCCACATCAGGCTCCCAGCTCGGCGGGGGGGCCGGAGGGGGGTCTACTTCTCCCTCTCCCTCTGCCTCTCCCCCTGCTTGTGCTCTCGCTCTCGTGAATAACTAAAATCTTAAAAAAAGAAAGAAGTGTCCTCCAAAGTTCTTTTTTTTTAAGATTTTATTTATTTATTTGATAGAGAGAGACAGCGAGAGTAGGAACCCAAGCAGGGGGAGAGAATTGTTTATTTTTGCTTTATTTTAATTTATTTATTTATATTTTTTAAGTTTTGTTTTTTTATAGGGGGGGAGAGAGAGAGAGAACGCAAGAGTGCATGCACACGAGGTGGTGGTGCTGGGGTAGAGGGAAAGGGAGAATCTTTTTTTTTTTTTTTTAAAGATTCTATTTATTTATTCATGAAAGACAGAGAGAGAGAGAGAGAGAGAGAGAGAGAGGCAGAGGGAGAAGCAGGCTCCCAAGGAGCAGGGAGCCCGATGCGGGACTCGATCCCAGGACCCTGGGATCATGACCTGAGCCGAAGGCAGACGCTTAACCATCTGAGCCACCCAGGCGCCCAGGAAAGGGAGAATCTTAAGCAGGCTCCATGCCCAGTGTGGAGCTGGACACAGGGCTCAGTCTCACAGCCCTGAGATCATGACCCGTGCTGAAATCAAGAGTCGGACGCTTAACCGACTGAGTCAACCAGGTGCCCCTAAGATTTTATTTTAAAGTAATCTCTGAATCCAATGTGGCGCTTGAACTTATAACCAGGAGATCAAGAGTCGCACATTCTACCGACTAAGCCAGACAGACATCCCACCCCAGAATTATTTTAAATAACTCATGTCGCATCATTTCATCTGCAAATATTTCAGTGTGTGTCTCTAAACAATAAGGACTAGGGCACCTGGGTGGCTCAGTTGGTTAAGCGACTGCCTTCGGCTCAGGTCATGATCCTGGAGTCCCAGGATCGAGTCCCGCATCGGGCTCCCTGCTCGGCAGGGAGTCTGCTTCTCCCTCTGACCCTCCCCCCACTCATGCTCTCTCTCTCTCTCAAATAAATAAATAAAATCTTAAAAAAAAAACCAATAAGGAGGGCGCCTGGGTGGCTCAGTCGTTAAGTGTCTGCCTTCAGCTCAGGTCATGGTCCCAGGGTCCTGGGATCGAGCCCCACATCGGGCTCACTGCTCGGCAGGAAGCCTGCTTTTCCCTCTCCCACTCCCCCCACTCCCCCTGCTTGTGTTCCTGCTCTTGCTCTCTCTATCTCTGTCAAATAAATAAAATCTTAAAAAAAAATAGTAAGGACTATTTAATGTATACAACTATAATAGTATTAATATACATAAAAGTTTTAACAATATGTCCTTAATATCAAATATCCAGTCAGTATACAAATTTCTCTAGTTGCCTCATAAAAGTTATATTTATTTGAATGTTTTCGGAATGAGGATCCACCTTTTTTTTAAGAGTGGGGAGGGGCAGAGGGAGAGGGAGAGAGAGAA